CCTTTGGAAGACTTGGTTATGTACAAGGGCCTTCTGGGAGCTTCCATGTCAGTGTGAGGGAGTGTAGGGCAAATGGAATACGTTGGGGATTCCCAGATTTAGAGGTGCCACAATAGGAGAAATGAGTTGAACCAAACTCCCGCCAGTGATGAAACAGTCTAACAGGCATACCTTGTATGCTCGAAGCGAACCATCCAGGAGGCTCAGGCTAAGGAATCAGCACTGCCCTCACAATCATGTACACATAAACCATACCCTGTACATTTTGAAACATCAAAAGGCAGACTCATACAAGAAACTAAGAGGAGGGCATGACACACCCGAGTGCCCGGCGGAATCTGGCTCTGGCGAGTGCTTGCCTTAGCACAAAAATAAGATGCATAGGCGACACTGCGGTAGGGTACGGTGGACATGTTGAACTCCGGGTGTCACACAAAGGAACGCTTTCTCTACTGGGAACCAGCGTTCGGACGGGTTCCTATTGTTGCACAATGTCCGTGGGAACTCAAGAAACAACTCATTTTGTGGAAACGTGTTTTGTCCGAATCGCGCTTGCGCGTGAGCCAGAGTCAAGACTCCTTGTGTGGGTCAATGGTCAAGGAATCCTCAAAATGGTTGCCTAAATCCCGTACTACTGAAATGCAATGGCTGAATGACCATCCACAGCAATCCCAAGTGAGCAAGCTGTCTGCCCACGTGCTTTTAAGCTGATCAACAGTTGAGCATCCAGACGCGAACAGGCCTCGCTTCAACCCACATGAACTTGAACTTGAAAACACCAGGATTCAAACTCAACCCTGGCGATGCTGCAAGAAAAAGGTTAGTGTCAACATTTGTGATCACTTGTACACCACAAGTCTCTGAGACTCTAAGCAACATCCTGCCCTGAATGCCGCAAGGCGATGGGACCCGTCGGTCCGCGAGCCAGTTGAGTCACAACATGGGAGCGAAGATGCGGGCGTTGAACAAAGCTTGACAGGTCCGCCCAATGATACCACCGGACAAGAAGGTTGCACCAAACGCTCCCCTCCAAGTCAACTGTAGGGAAGGGAGCCATCTGACGACGTGTGGCATTCGTCTGAAAGAGGACTGCAAGCCCTCACTGCCATTCCTCGCTATTGTATCGCAGTCGCAAATCCTTTCAACAAGGGTCCAAGAAGTGGCTCAGTGCCTGTGTCCTCCACACTTCCGCGCATGCAAACTGCCACTGCCAACTCTGACTTGTGTGTCGCATCAGCGAAGGATATCAGGTCCGGACTCGTCCTAATCGAATCCCAAGGGTATACCGTCTACCCAAACCAAACGAATTGAAGAGGTTTTCCCAAACAATACTTCAACCTCCTGGGCTTGATTTGTCCGCGAAGCACGGACTGAAGCACCGGTACCGTTCAATCCAGGCCAACCCCGGATGAGAAGAGGCACTTTACATGCGCAACCAGTGCCCCGCATTGTCATTCTCCGATGTCAAACTCAACAGTTGGGCTGGTCTTAACATCCCTTGAGGCGGGTTTCGTCTTGGTGTCCTTCGACAACCCGCTGACATGCGCTCTGAAGGTCTTTGAAGTGGTCACAGCAGACCAGCTCCCCATTATACATGTCCTGTTGCAAGCAGGAATCCATGATGTGCCTATTTTTGCCAGGATTTCTGGTTGTATTAAAAGGGCATCGGTATCTTTTCGGAGTCCGGAGATGTCTCAGACCAGCTGCCGCATCCAGTTCTAGTTGCAAGCTTGCAAGCCACTGCCACCAGTGTTTGTCGGTTTTCCAGGTTTACGCATGTTGGTTTCACAAATGTTGGTTGCCACTGGAACATTTTGAAGTTGGCCCCGGTGACGAAAGGATTCGGCGATCCATGCGCTCCTCTCCCCATTGCCGAGGAGCTGCTGCCGCGCCGATAAGAGTTCATGGCTTGCAGAGTTTGAGTAGCTTCCAGCACGCAACAAGCTGAAAGCCGTGTGCTACGCTGCTGCTACTGTTGCTTCGCATGAAGAAGCTGATTTACTTGTTGCAAGCTCACCTTGCTTGCAATTCAAAGCACTCTCAGCCGTCAAGTGGTGGCTTGCACCATGTCCTGCGGCTTGGTGGTAGGTGCGCTCGTGGTTGATAACAAATACCGCCAAACTAACGGAACAGGGTAGGCAAAACCGAACGCCGGGTGATGCAGGAAGGGTCTTCTGTTGTGATGCTCGTTTGACTGCCTGTCCAACATCCAAAGACATGGAATTCGGTCTTTCCTTACGTAGTCCATCTGTGCTGGAACTCTCCTAAACAATCTGAGCCCGCGGAACGGCCTGCCGAGCACGCAATCGGCTACGTTGCTACATGGGGGTGTCTTTTTTCTTGAGGGTACCTTTTTTGTTTGGGGGCCATATTAAAACACAGACACCCACATGCACGCTGATTTCCAGTTCGCATGGCGGGCAGGCAAACTGATGGCATCTCCAAAAACGGGTGTCGAGCAGGTGATAACGTTTCTTGTTGGAAACCCTCCTGATTCGCG